GAGAAAATGAAAATTCAAAACACACGAAAAAGAAATACTCCCTTATTATGAAGGTAATATTTAGAATGAGGCTTCTGAATTCGAGGATGAACTTGTTTGTTAAACTATTGTAATATCCGAATGTATATTCGCAGTTTCATGAAAGGTTTGTGCCATATAGTAAAAAAAGCACGGTCCATGTTAGAGGTGAAGGCATATCTGCTGCACGAACTCCCCAGGGCATCGGCAGAGCAGATAATGGTTTTCGTCGACGGCAATAGCGTTCTCGCCCGGAGCTGCAGTGCGGCCTCCCTGCATCGAATGATTAAGACGGTCCTGAAACCTGCCCTAGCGGAACCTCAAGTCGAGAGGAAATGAGCTGGCCAGTGGAAGTGTTCCTGTTGCGTGTTTCACGTCCCTTCAAACCTCACCTTGAAGAAACGCGGAAATGTCGCCTCGAGCGAAAACTACATTTAGATATCGGGAACCGTTTAGAAGTTATGGGGGTGACCCAAAGTTGGTGGGACTCCCTATGTATACACAAAAACTGTTGAACAGATAACAAATAAAAAAAATAATACAGCTTTGTGCATCTCCGACAAAGTATAGCGGTTTGTTTTATTTTCAATTCTGAATATATTGTTGGCCCACAACGATTGAACTTATCCAGATGAAGAGGGAACTGAACAACTTGGAAATGAATTCGAGTTACTAGAATTCTTTCTCGAAACGTAATTCCCTTCCCGAGGTATCTTCTCTTATGTCTTCCTGTTGATGGTGATTTTTTATTTTATTTCACGAGCGCATTTTCATGGTCGGTTTTGGAGATCTACGATATAAAAATCATTTTATTTTTGTAAAAGTAAAAATAATAGAGCAATTCCTTTTCCTCTCGAGTTACCTATGCATCGAGCAAGTGGGCGGTGTTTGGATCACTTTCTAAACACTTGCCTGCAAAATCTGTCGAATGAGTTAGCTAGTGAAAATTGGCCAGGCATTTCTTAGAGACATATATACCCATGAGATATAGCTGGCTTTTTAAAAAAAATGATATGCGAATTGTGATTTTGTTGAATAGTGCAGGAGCACTCGTGCAGGAGCTACTTGCAGAAACAGTCTTAACACTGCCAGCGCAACAAAATGTTGGCATTTTTGTTGAATCTTATATTTGATCGACATGTCTACTTTACTTTCTAAATGTATTTTTATATTATTATTATTATTATTATTATTATTATTATTATTATTATTGTGTTCATTTATCTAAACAGTTGGCTTTGCATTATTGCAGGTCTCAAAGCATTCAGAAGAATACTGAGGCTATCTCCATATTTGATGAAAAATCCAACATGAAATATTGGAATCAAAAGGAAATAATTAACTCTTGTAAATATATTTAATGAAAACAAGTTTGTTTTCACAGAAAAATACGTTTTCACCACAATTTCAACCCAAAAAGTATTTTAATTAAATTTCAAAATGAGACTTTTCCAACTTTTTAGCTTAACTTTCTTCATAATGACTAGATATTCTGTAATTATCTTATACTATTATTTTTACTTTCACTAGCAAATGGCATTAATTAGAAACATTTAGCAGAATAATGTTTTAAACAAAAGATGACTTTTCTTCATCATAATCAGTTATTTCCGGGCTTGAAGGCCGTGGTCCAAGCCCGGAAATAACTGATTATGTTGTAGAAACCGGCCGTGAAAGCCTACATTGTATGTTAATTCGCCTCTACGGGGACGATATTGACCGCTTGCTGCGACGATTCGAGACACTACGGAAGAAGAAAGCTCAGGTACCGTGTTCTTTAATGACAAGTCTCCATTGGACCTCGGCCTTCAAGCCCGGAAATAACTGATTATGATGTAGAAACCGGCCGTGAAACCTTACATTGTATGACTTATCTTGTTTTTCTCAAAACAGGCTAGAATGAAAAGTCATTTTGAAAGTAGCCTGAGGATACAATAGTCAAAGCTGTATAGTGATAATAAATACATGATATGAATGGTGAGAGGCAGAGGAATCGGGGGATCCTCTACTTAAAATAAAATTGATTTCATTTTAAGCCTTAAATTTAATGTACAAGTATATTAAACTCTTTTAATGTACAAGGTAATTAAATTTCATGTGCATTAATACATTGCTATCAATTAAATTTATTTACATTTCTGACAGGGTAGTATTGTGATAAAATAGAGTTAGAACGTTTCTACATTCTTGAGTTAAGATGTAATCACGCCACAGAAGTTTTGTTTGAGCGACTTTCACCACTTGTCTCTAATGGGACACAGACGTCAGCGTGTTTACAACATTTACAGACCCAGCAGCGTTGACCAGGACGATAAACTTGGTTTTGTCGTCGCAGATTCATTTCTTCAGAAACTACTCCATGGCGGCTGCTTATATTTCTTTCTTTGAGCGTTTTGGACAACTGCTTCGGGAGTGAAACTTCAGGTTTCACAATAGATAAGCGAGACCCCACGTATCAGCGCTCCACATCGTCGGTATTAAAAATCCTTGAAACGCGGAATTAAGGCACATTCACAATGCAAACAAACATAAGCAAACGTAAGCGGACTCATTCACAATGCGTTCGTTTAAGTATAACACATAAGACGTTAACTTAAGAGCTTTCAAGCTTCAAGGTTCTGTATTCATGCGTCAGGGAGGCATACGGAATGAACCAATCACAGTACGTTAACTCAAAATCGAGTATCGAAATAGGATGTAAAGTCGATAGACAAACACACCGCCATGGGCCATGGACACAGTCGATACCTCGAAATCTATTCTCATATCCAAACAATAGAAAACTAGAATGTCTCACAGCCAATATATACTTATTTGGCTTACGTTTATGTTAGACATTCAATACTTCAGTCTATCGCTTATGTTAATGTTAACGTCGATGCGTAATGCTTATCTTAATGTGTGCATTGTGAATGGGCCGTTAGAGTCTGCACATGAGCGTCGCGTTGTTGCGGGATAAGTAACGAGCGTCATAAAACAACACTATCTAATGCAAATTCACGACGAGCGCTTTGATTGTACCGCATCATACAGTGTTAATCTATGACGTGCGTTACATCGTGGAACATCCTACTTTACGTGGAACGTCCACAGCGCTCAAATGCCGTTTCGCACGAGATGCAGCGTAATTCTACGACGCGCGTTACTTTAAGCGCGACGCAACGCTCGTGTGCAGGAACCATTAGTGGTGCAATATAGCCACAGCTTAGGCGGCAGGACTGAGAATGGTTTTGTACAGATATATTTTTTTTTAGGAAGCGTGCAATTTTTTAATTTATTAGAGTTTTCTCAGCGTATTTCGTAAATTGATAACCGAGTGTGAATCAATCTTCAATAGAAATAAAAGGAGTATTTTTATAAGCGGTACAAGCCGATTTAGAAGTGAGAAAATTTTCTTAGTAATTTTACTCTAGTTGAAAATGCTTTTAACTAATGCAGTTTGTCAACTTTTAGATTCACATTTTTAGTTTCTTCTCTCAATTTGCTAACCTAAAACGTTCACAACTTAAATATTTTTCTTCTGATGAATAATGGTATTTTTAAGTTGCTAAAATAGACCACTATGTGCAAGTTAGGAAACTATATAGAAGCGAGTTAGACGATTGTAATTTCTATCTAGAACCCAATGGTCTTCCAGCCGCTTTTAATACACAATATTTTATCTTATCGGATCGCCTTCGCAATATTTTCAGCTTATTCTCTTTTATAAATGGGCGTAATGAATTATGGTTGTATATTTATTTCGGAGGTACATTGAAGGCCTTTGAGAGTTTATGAATCCACCATTATCTGAAAAATGGAACATATTCCTTAAAGTGTTAAAAGTGAGTCTAAAGTTGTGGAAGATTTACTACCCAGACCTACAGACCTGCATCTTGAGGAATACGACATTTCAAGAACTGGAGGAGAGAAAAATGTTAAGGACATACGCGAGGAAGTTATATTAGCTTACTTTGCAGCGAAAGTAAGTACCAATATTTAATGCAGGTTCGTAGGAATGTATATAACGAAAGTAGTACACTTATTTTATAGGTATGAGTAAGTTATTTTCATTTTAAAAAAAAATGAAGTACAAGTGTTTTTCTACGCCCCTTCCTTCGTTTTTCAATATATTTTTGTGTGCATCATTTTTCAATCCGTCTGCAGCAGTTTTGCTGTTTATCGTGACAATTGACAGCTAATTTATCACACGACTGTAATAAAGGGCTATTTATCGGCTACAGACACTTATGTAAACATCCTACAAAGGCGATCGCATGCATAAGAAAGTATAGTACGAGTATTACTTTATATTTGCTCATTTACAAAGAAATAGTTAAGGAAAATATTAGAAAAATACGGTCTATTAATTAAAAATTTAAATTAAAGAAAGTTTTAAACGTTTTAAAAAGCATCTCGCAAGTAATTTATATTCACTTCCTGGATTTAATTTATAATTTATGTAACTTGTGAACTTAATTTATAATTTATGTAACAGAATATGCTTCAAACTTAAGAGTTCTTTAAAGTTTGAAGTTTATGTGTGCAAGTTATCCCAAACTTCCACGCGTTTTCAGAAACGTAAGCAGCATTACCAAAATCGCCAAATTAATTCCTTTAAGGGTGTGCACTGGAAGACGTTCTGAAGCTCTATCAATATAATTATTCGGGATCGAAAAAGAAAAGAAAACTAGGACTACAATAAGTCACTTTAAAAGATTATCCCTAAAAGAGTTACTGTCAAAATGAGCAAACGTAGCTCGTGAAAAACACAGTTGGCGCTAGTATTTTAGACAATTCCAAATTTCCTAATTTTCTCGTATAGTGTAATGATCCAATACCTATTCGTAGGTCAGACGAGCACAAGACTGAGTAAACATTGGATCGTGTATGTACGAAGCGGTGGAAACCTATTTAAGATTAAATACATTTACATCAAGTGCGAAAAGAATAGGAGTATTCATTACTTCCATTTCAGTAAGATTAATCAATTTATTTCTAAAATTCCAGGTATAACATTTAAAACTGTGACAAAATTTATTTCGGTACAAAATTGGAAAGAAACTATTCAAATGATAAACAATTTGCAAATTCAATATACAACTTTTCAATTTTAAAACTCGCACTTCATATAAGATCTTTATAATCCGGGGAGAAATCGACTCAAAATTTACAAGTTTCAGTACATTGTGGTTTCAAGCATTCGAACTAAGCACTTTGTCAAGGTACGTCATATTGTTTGTTGAGCCGGTTGCAAGTCTACGCCATCACCCTTTGCGCCATGGGATCAATGCGTCAGAGTTGCAACTGTCGCGAGGCAGCGTTATCCCTTTCAGATCGACACTAAATTCCTTTGCCTAAGAATCTTGAGAAATGCAGCAGTTATTTTGACTCAAAGTGAACACCGCATTTTTACGAAATGCAAACTAAATCCGTTACGAGTTACACAATCGGTGCCCAAAGAGCCGAACAAAACGAGAAATCCTGACCTCCAAGACTGTGCGGGATAGGTCTGAAAGGGACGCGGCGCCTCACTCGACCGCCCCGGGCCCGAGCAGGGCGAGCGGGATCATGTCGGCGGAGCGCTCCTCGTAGGAGGGCGGGCCCGAGTCGTCCGTGGTCGAGCGGCTGTCGGGCGACTTGCCCAGCAGCAGGCGGCGCACGGACCTGTCCGAGGCGAGGTCGACGGGCGCGCGCCCGTCGTGGTCCAGAGCGTCCACGTCGGCCGACTTCGCCAGCAGCATGGCGATGGCCCTCATGTTCCCGGCGAGGGCCGCCAGGTGGAGCGGAGTCCGACCCCGATCGTTCACCTACAGGGCATTTTGGAAGCTATAATAAACACTTTTTTAAAAGTTGCTGGGATGGATGCGGGATTGGTTTTTATAGCCGTGGCGGTGGTGTGCAAGCTGACATGGGTATTTCAGTGCATAACGGTAATTCGTGACTCGTTTCCCAGAGTTCGCTGGCCATTAACTTTCAGAGACCTACAAATGATGATAAACAGACCCAGCGATACAAATGTACAAGCCATTCCGTTGCTTTACTTAGTAAATGAGCGGGGAGAGGCAGTGACAGTTCAATGTTTAAACATCCATCTGTCCTAAAGTTAAGCAATAAATTAAAAATGTATATCCTAAATTAATGTGTAATTATTTAAAGAAAAATCGGTTATTTTGAAGTAGTACAATTTGAAAAATTTAATTTTTGTAAAAATATTTGTATGAAATAAAACTCACAACACTTCAAAAAACAATCCTAATAACACAGCAATGTATTATAAAAATAATACTGCAAATATTTACACTATATATTCTTAATTTTCAGTTTTCGAGAGATTAGTTACAGTTTCAGAGAGGCACGTTATCATAAAACAGTAACTATTTCCAGCTTTTAGATAATCTTAATTTTCAAGAGTAATCCAATCATCAATGGAGCACTTCAGCATTATTAAACGACGGAAGGGGAGACATGAGTATAGTTTCAGTGTATCCCGGAGGAATTCAATACACTTTGAAATTATGTTTGATATTAAAAAAAGTTGCAATTAAACATTTATGTTTGCATGAAGTTAAAATTTTGCAATAAATAAGTTTTAAAATAAGCCTCATCGCGAACATAACAGCGGATAAATCATTCATAAAAAATAATTCAAAAGAATTTCTTTGAATAAAAGTCAGTGATTTTCCCAAACAAACCCATTTAAGGGGTTGTGAAAATATTGGAAATGCTAATAAAATTTTCTGAATCGTGCACTATGTATAGTACAATAATAGTGTATAATGAAGGAGTTGAGTTCATGCCTACATAAAATGTTTCCGTGTCAGAGGTTAACAAGCAAATAATTACAGTTTACGAAATTATGTAAATTAATGGAGAAAAATCCGGGGACGAAGAATAACAACCTTAAAAGATTTCGTTGAAGATGTAGACAAATTGGGCATCAATAGGTCCCATTCGATTTTGAATTAAGTTTTGGACTTTCCAATAAAGAAACTAGTTAGCAGTAGAAAGATTAAGAAACATCGAAGTTAGAACCGAACCGTTCATAAAATATGACTCAAAATAAGAAACCGAATCGTTTATAAAAGTTCAATATTTCATAAATGCTCGAAACAAATGTATTAAAAATATTTTAATATTTCAGACAAGCTGATATTTTTTACAAGGCACATTTTCTGGCGTGAAAGGTCAGATATTTGTTTCTTTTCAATAAATCAGGGTTTGTGCAGTAGCAGAGTCTTTTTACCATCACTGGGGGAGCTCTTTGAGACAGGTTAATTTGTGGGCCCCCTTTATTATTTTCACCGATCTTCCCTCTTACAATTTAGATGCTGAAGTGTGAAGAAAATTCTATCAATACACTTTATTCCGTAATTTTGTTTAACATTTAAAAATATTTATTAGCATTTCAATTTAACAGTACTGAAGCAAAACATTAACAGTGAGTAAGAACAACATTTATGATTACACTGGACAAGAGCACAAATTAAATAAATAAAAGTTAAAAAACTTTCTAGTCACCGATTGATCATCTTGCATCAACTAGCAACATTCCACGTTATAAATATTACCCAATGTTACACGACATCACTCCGTTGTACCAATTTTTTGTCTAGATCACTTTTTTACGAATTTTATTTAAAAAAATAGTAGCATTACATAATTGTTCTACGAACTCTCGGAGGCCCTGGGCCTGGGCCCTTCGCAGCAGTGCCTGAGCAGAGCGCAGGCGCGTACCTCGTGCGGGCTGGCGCCGGCCTTGAGCAGCTCCCTCATGCAGGAGGGGTCCACGGAGTCCGCTGTGGCGAAGAGCGCCGTGTCGCCGCCGTGCGGCCGGGCGTCCACCGGGGTACCGGCCTTGAGGAGCGCGCGCAGAGCCAGCACCTGAGAGGCCAGCGCCGCGCGCCGCAGGGCGACCTCCGCCGACTCAGACTGGAACTGCAAGCAGCCAAGTTAGGCGTTCGGAGGATACAAGTTAATTACGCTTTGTTTTATCGCCCATTCAGCTGGCCGACACACTAAAGCAGAACAAAGTGGCTTATTTAGGGTAATTATGTGCTCTATTCCCGAATTATAGTGTCTTATTAAAATAGTTTTATTAAATTTATATTAAATATTAAAATAGTTATATTATAGTTTTATTAAAAGGCAATGCTCCACCAGCTTTATTCTAAAGACAAACAACAAAATTTTACAAAAATGTTCAAACAAATCTACTCATAGGAATTATACGTTATTTCTAGGCTCACCAAAATTACTAATAATTATTCATATTTTTTATTGTAAAAAATCAATTGCCACTCAGATGAGAGATCATTCAACTTAATTTTCAAACTAACGAGGAGAAAGATTTTTAACATACTATTTATAATATTACGTACTATTTGTTGATATATCCTTTGAATTAAGTGCTCGTCAACTTCAGCAAAAAATGTAGCAACAATACAACCCAACCGCTCTTACACCCTACGGCAAACAGATTAAATCGAAATAAACTAGAAAACTATAGTTTCTTTTCAACATTATGCATATAAGCATGTGCTATTTGTTGATTTATTCATTGAATAAAGAGCTCGTTAACTTAGCAAAAAATGTTGCAAGAACTACAACTCGACGACTTATGCCGCACTGCGAAACTAGCGAGCAGGACACTTTACATAATATGCGAATAATTACGTAGTATTTGTCAATATATCTCTTGAATTAAGTGCCCGCCAACGAAGTTTTTCCAAAAAATATTATTCCATCTCCCAAGTAAGCACTACGCCACGACATTAAACTTGATAATTATTGAACTAGCGAGCAGAGCACACTTCGTTTGTAACTTTTCTATTTATACATCTATATAATATTTATGTAGATAACACATCTGAATGTTTCTCGTGAATTAAATGGTCGTCAACATTAGCAAATATTTTTGGACAAATACAACCCAACCGCTGAAGTTCGAACTGAGAAAAGCATTTCACGTCTAATAAGTTTTTAACTAGCGAGCACAACTTTTCATACACATCATGCATATGATTACATATTAATTTTTGCTTGAAATTAAGCTGTCGTCGCGCCATTAATTGATGTTAAAGAAGTTAATATTTTTCGAAATATTAGAGGTTGGTAAGAATTTAGAAGAATTTACAGAAATTCTAAATGAGCATAAAGTGTAAGAAAAAATTTGGAGCCTTGAAAAACCGTTTTAAAAACTTTTAGAAATTAAAAAAAACATTTTCAAATATCTAATTGAAATTATTTAAGGTCATACTCCTAATGAAATTGACATTACGAAACACTAGTGTAGTTTGTGCAAGACTTGAGGCGTGGAAAAAATTTGAAATCTTAGAATTTTCGTATTTTGGGAAGTTGCAGTGGAAATTTAATCTTTCTATGTTTGTAATCAGATTTTGCTTTATTAATGCAAAACCTGTAGATAAATTGAGATATTTATGACGAAGTTTCCAAAAATTGGGGTTTTACATAAAGAACCTGCAAAATTTTAAAAAAATATCCGTTTCTAATTCAAGGGGGCCACCTCCGTTTAGGGAATACAAGTTTGGGCGCAAATAGTGTGCACGGTTTAGGCTCTAAGATATGTTCTCAGATTTAGGGACTACTTGCCCGTTTTCAGTACACAGGACCCACAAAACTAACTGACAGTACACTTTTGAAGAAATAATCCAGGAGCAAGGAAAGTCATTTTTGGTATCACGAAGTTTTAGTTTTTTAATGTTTAGTTTTTGCTTGAAGACGAATTTTTATAACTTTCTTTTCAGCCGCAGACTTTTGGATAAGAACTTTCGCATCGAATGGTTTGTACAATGTGTGCGTTTTTAAAGTTTTTCAATGTGTTACCAATGAAGTTAAGCGAGAAATTTTGAAAAAGATCTTTGAAATATAAATCACCTAAGCTATGGAAGTTAACTAGAAGGGAACTTACGAAGCAAGTATAATACAACGGGTGTGTAAACTCGACAGACGTTTATTTAAGGTAATTAATCCCCGTCCCCCGAAAAAATAAAATAAAATTTAGCGTCACATTGGCTGTAAGTTTTAGGTTTACTGGACTGAAGGTCGTGTTAGGGCAGCGATTGCGATTGCTACTAGTACCTCTTGGGGCAATTTTTGGTAGATCACGGTCAAGCTACAAGTTTGCTAAACTGGACTTGTTCAAACAAATGACTCTCGAAAACAGCCTGTCATACACACGTGCAGTGATTTACGCAATTTTACTACGCTACTACGTATTTTAACTATTTCAATTTCTATTTCCAGTTCAATTATTTTTCTTGTATACAGTAATTAAAACTGGTTTCATATTTAATACACATATTTATGGACAAATAAAAGTTAAGATTTGGAAAAAAAGATCTGTATCTTGGTAGCTCACAGTACGATTGAAAACTATGGTTGCTCATAACCTTTCATAAGTTTGGCGACCACTGGTTAATTGCAGTGGCAAACGACTGGCTGATCCTTACCGTCAACTTGGAACAATTTTAAAATTTATCACCACAAACAGCATTAGTTTTCAATAAACGCGTTAATTCAGCGCAACCAGCTTAAAAGTTTATCCTACGAGCCCTCCCCCTTCGCGCAACAACAAAAGTCGAGAAGACAACGGAAAGCACACTCACCACCTCAGGTCGAAATTTCGCCATGAGGGTAATGATGGCGTGGTGTCCCCCGGCTGCCGCCCGAATGATGGGGGTAATCCCCGTGCCGTCGTCGGCTATGGGATCGGCGCCCGCCTTGAGCAGCGCCTTCGCCACCTTGATGTGGCCGTGGTGCGCCGCCAGCCACAGCGGCGTCTCGTGGTGGCGGTTGCGGACCTCGTCGGGCGGAGTGCCCGCGGCCAGCAGGGCTTTCACCAGACGCACGTTGCCCTCCTCGGCGGCGTTCAGCAGCGCCTCGCCCGACGGGGCGGGCGGCACAGGGGCGAACCACGACAGGATCTACGCACGACCACAAGCTCTCGCACCATACGGGAGGAACATTTTCATTCCGCAACTCAGATCAGTTTAGCTTTAAGATAAATTTTAACGTCTTTTAACACCACACATTCTGAAGTAACCCACGTTATGCAAAGAACGTAATTTGAATAATGTTATAATGAATAAGTTAATTTCAAGTCTAGAATTATCACCTTAAAAAGGTGAAATCCTAAGATGCCGCTTCAAAACTAATCATGCCAGCGGATAATGCGACATAAGATTCTAAAAACTTATTAATTGCACTTAAATAAATATTAAATGAGTGAGAAGTAAAAAAAAATAATTAATTGCTGCGTGGCCTAATAGATATTAGAAAGAGCACGAGCAGAAACAGAAAATTTACAAAAATTGAAACTTCGTTTTCTTACTAATTTTCCTGGAAGAAAATAGAACATGCCCAGCTCAGTAGGTTTGACGTTTGATAGGATTTCGAGCCCACCCAGGGCAGGTTTGCGCGTGTCAAGAGCCTGTGCTTAAGGATGTTTTATTTCAAGGAAAACATTCTTTGAAACGTTCTGCTGTGCCCAGACCGTTCCGAAACAAACATTCCGGCAGGATTTTGTTTCCTTGTTTTAACTTTCAACGTACAGAATTAAGCTACGACTATTGCATATATTTTTCGAGCTAACTTTTATATACAAGTTTATTGCAACCCTCACCCATTACTAAATGACTAGTGTTTATATTTCTGTCACATGAAAAGTGGTCAAGAGCCCTCAGTGAATTTCCTCGTCAATTACTAAAGTTGAAAACTTTTTTTCCACTTACCCTTCTCCACCAGCCAACGTTTTCCATATTTGATGGGAATGGGATTCTACCGCGAACGTTGTTATCTCGCGAACTGCGGCTGACGTACTCCCCCTCGCCCGTAGTGCTACTCGGCAGACGCACCACCGACTTTCACTGCTTAAAAGGTAGAATTTGTCAGGGGTACCAACACAATCACCATTATCTACTTTTATTCAACTTGTGTGAAAGTCGAATAAACTAATGAATATATTTTTGTAAAAAAGGACAAACCTAATGGAAATGGAAATTAAAGAAACTGGAAAACATTTGGTAATTCTATGATAGCCTAAAAACGATTTTGAGATGTACTCACAATTTCTAAAATCACCTATCGCAAGGCATATTTTGAAATCACGATGTAGAATCTTTGGTATATTTTATTACATCTATTTTTTACCGGTTTCAATGTTGTAAGTAAACATATTGGTTCAGAAAAAACAAATATTTCATTTTTAGCTCCATTTAAGTCTGTTCGGGAACAACAAATGTAACACTCTTGAAGACATAGAGGTGGGCAAGGAATAAATTTTTTTCACTTAAAGAATGTGAGCTTATTTTATAAATTACTTAAACGTTGCTAATAACTGCTTCATTTTCCTCCGAAGATTAACAGACATAGCGAAGGTACAACCTTTTAATAAGATTCAATAAATTTGAAAAAATAAAGTGGAATGATAAATCTTTTTATAAAAGACACTTCACATATATATGTAATGTCATTACTTTTCAAATAATCAACTGCAATGCATTGATCGTTCTCAATTCATTTACATCAAAAATCAACTCCAATAATAATTACCAAGTAACATTAAATAATAAATAATGAAAACCTTATATTATCTAAGGAAAACAAAAATAGAATTGAAAATACAAGTAAATACACAAAGATAAAAAAGAAATAATATTTAGTTCAGTCTTTGGAAGTTCTTAAGGTAAAAAAGGTCAAAAAATAAAATAAAAATAAAAGATAAAAACAACATTAATATCAAAGCATGTCAAAAAAGATTGAAAGAACTAGTGGCCCTAAAATATTGTATTGACTGTCTCACATTATTTTAAAGGTTAAGTTAAATCATTACTAATTACTAGGACTGCAAATTATCCACTTCTAATATTTTAGTGTAAGGGGAATAAATAATTAATACTAATTTGTAAACAAATTTTACAAATTAGGCTAACCCTTCAGAAAATCTTGTAAAATGCACTAATTAGATTCCTTTTCAACATATAATATAGTTTAGTTTTCTTTTCTGTATAATTTATATTGTAAGTCATGATCAAAAACGTTTGATCATAAACACGGGACAATTTTTGCATTATCACAATTTTTGATGCCCTAAGATTCAATGAAATTATGCTTCCGGAAGACCACAGAAGAACAAAATCTCTTTTAATATATCCACTTCGCATGTATGATAAAACACTTTGGACTCAACCACAAGGGTTTATACTCTGAGAAAATACTTGCTCTGTAGCGTGTTTAAAGGACCCGTAGTTCCTGAATGGTGACATTATTAAGTTGTTGGTCGTAGTAACGATATGAATGAAATTGTAATACGAACGGAGAAATCTAAATCCTTATATGAAGTAGCAGTGAAATTATTTTCAATAGAATAAGAGCAAAGAAGCAACCTAATTTTGGGAAACATTTGAAGCAAGTTTTGATAAAATGTCCAAGCTTTTCTGAATATGCACTATTTTGAACTCTTTTTACACTCAAATGTCAGACACAAATATATTTTTGGTTTCGAGAAATTTCGTCACAGACCATTTAAACCATAAGTGTCTATCAATACGTGCAAAAAACAACAAATATTTATTTTTTTACAATACAAACTTTTTGATGGGGTATAAGAGTTTCATTAATCGGCAATTGTATCACTTGATTCAGGAAATTCTAATGTATCCAAAATATTTAAATAAAAAAGTTGAAAACGTTTTTGCGCTTTTTACGTATATGTGAAAAATGGTTCACAGTTTACTAAAAAAACAAAAAAAACTGCAAATATTTTCATACTTGTGGTGCTACAGAATGGCACAGAATTCCATGACTTACTGTACGTTCTATAATTTCTGTAGTCTGGGCTAGCATTACTGTTATGCCCCGTCCTCTTGCCAGCTGCCGTCTATCGCCACCCAAAACATTTTTTTATACTTTCTCAATTTTTCGGTTTTTAAATGGTAGAATCGAAAAATTATTTTAGAATATTGGAAAGAGTGAAAATTTCGTCCTAAATGGAAATTGTCGTTGGAAAATATGGAGCAGTTTTACAGAAAATATCGTTTGAGCGTTAGTGTATATGCGAAATTTGAGGTTCTTTTTCACAGAAAACTTTTGAGTTTTCGAAAAGCATCATTGGATGTCATTTAAAGCACATCTACTAAAAAAGCATTAATGTATACAAATAACTGGAAATGTGCACATTAACGGAGTGGCAGATATTTTTTAAAATTTATATTTCCTTAATTTGTGAAAGAAACAAAAGAATACAGGAAAATGACTTATGAAATCTTAAACAATGCATTTAGCACAATAAGTACAAAAAGTTTGAAGAAAAATGAGGATTTTTTAATGTGAATAGCCTTTAATGTTAATATCAATGACATGAGAGAGAGATAAAAAAATACTTTTGAATAATTTTTGAAAAAACAAAAGAATAGAGCAAAATTCGGTTTATGTAATCTTATAGAGTACATTTAACACTATCTCTTCCAAAAGTTTAAAGAAAAATTGGAATCCTTCTTGTGAAAATCTAATTTTCTTTACTTTTTAATATTGCATGCAATATTGCTAGAAAACTACTAAAATTTTCAAGAAAATGTACATGACCTTAATGAACGAGCTAATTATGGAGAAGAAATGTTTCTGTAATGAAAATATCACTATCTTCAATTTTGTAGTTGTAGGAAGACGTCGAAAAATGTCAATATTTTGCAATTTTAAAAAATTCTGTTAACCATGAAAATCGAACCTATGCTACAAATACATTTCACCCTATATTTACAAGAAAGTTAAAGACAAAAAATAGAGCTATTTTTGAGAAAATTTTGGAATTTATCAACTTTATATAAAGCACCCCCAAAAATTAATGAATCTCAAAATCACGGAGCTTTGAGTGAGGCCAGACAGACAGAAGTTTATTCAGTTTGTAAAAAAAATCCTAGGAATAGTGTAGGCGCTAGTGTTGTTCACAGACGACAGGAGGGCGGACAGACAGACGGAGGGCCGAAAGTTTTGAAAAAATACCTCTTTTCGGTATCAATGGATCCCAAAACGTATGTTCCTTTTAAATCTCCAAAATCAATTTTCTGCAGCAGTACATAACTTTCTCGATACTATAAATATTACTCCGTGTATACACATGTATACGATGAAGTAAGTATTGATGCAGAATGACACAAATTTTCTCGTATTAGTTTTTAATATCTTTGGCCTGGGTTAGCCTTATGGTCTTATCCCATTTGTGTTTTCGAGACTCTTCAAGTCATTTGAAGCACTTTCAATCACAAATGCAATTAAGTATACGGAAGTCGTTGAAAATGTGCACATTAATGTCGTGTGAAATATTTAAAAAAAATAATTTGCTTGAAATTACTAAAACAACAAAAAACACCAAAATGATGTCACATTTACGTCACAATAATGTCACTTAATGTCACTTTTGAACAATACCGGACCCTTCAATCGTACCCTACCAAACCCCTCGCTGAAGTGGTAACGAATAGGAAAGGTAAGAAAATAATGCTAAAAGACTTTCACTATTTCCCTTCGTTTGACAAAGCCTTAATGCAGAAATATTAATGAAAGTGGATGTTCCTCATAATCACTTTTCAGATATGCATTAAAGGAATTTCGTTAAGACGCCATTTACGTGTTTCTCTATCTCAGTCTCTTTCCCTCTTTCGGTCTTTGTCTCTCTGTTCCTCTCTGTCTCTGTCTCTCTCTCTCTTTCTCTCTCTCTTTCTCTTTTGATATGTTTGCTTCTCACTCTGCGTATCTGCCTCCGTCTGTCTCAGTTATCTCTGCCTGCCTCTGTCTCTCTGTCTATACCTGTGTGCCTCAGTTTGTCTCTACCTCTCTCCGTCTCTGCCTCTCTCTCTCTCTCTCTCTCTCTCTCTCTCTCTGTCTGTCTCCGTCTCTCCGTGACCCTCTGTGACTCTTCGTGTCTGTCTCTTCATCTCTGTGTCTCTCACTGTATCTGTCTCTCTTTTTCTCTCGGTATCTGCCCCTCTCACTGTGTCTGTCTCACTCTTTCTGTCTCCAATCGTTCCGCTCTTTGCGTCTCTGTCTATGTATCTCGCGGACTCTCTGTCTCTGCCTCTCTCTTTGTGTCTCTCTCTGTCTATTTCTGTCTCTCTCTATCTCTGTTCGTCTCTCTATTTGTATCTCTATTTGTCTCTCTATTTGTCTCTTGTCTCTCTCTGTCTCTTGACTCTCACTGTCTCCCTCTGCGTCACTCTGTTCCTTTGTCTCTCTCACTCTCTCTGTCTCAATCTCTCACTGCATCTCTCCGTCGCTATCCGTCACTCTCCCGCTCTCTCGTACTCCCCGTCTCCCTCATGACTCGTTGCCTCTTGCGCGGGGCCGTCCGTTCTTCTGCCTCACCTTGCGTCACCATCGCAACCAACAATAAAGCCCGATCTACCTTCTTCTCCGTCCTCGTTCCCTCTCCCCCTGCTCTACTCCGTCCTCTCACCTTCGCCTCCTCTCTCCCTTCATCCACTCTCTCCTCGTTCTCTCACCATCTTTCTTCGTCTCTCTCTCCAGTCTCTCTCCCTCGCCGCTCTCTCCGCTCTCTCCTCGCCTCCCCTCGCTCTCTCCCTCCTCTCTCGTCCTCCCCTCTCTCTGCTATCTCCCCGTCTCTCTTCCTTATCTCTCCCCATTTCTCTCCCCGTTCTCTCTCCCCGTCTCTTCCCCGTCTCTCCCGACTCTGTCACCTCTCCGCACTCTCGCTCTTCTATCTCTGTCACGTCTCAGTGAACTGTCTCTGTGTGTCTCTCTCTTTGTCTGTTTCCTTTCCTTGTCTCGTCTCTCTGTACCTGTCTCTCCTTCTCTCTACTATCTCTCTTCTCTCCTGTCTCTCTGTCTTCTACGTTCTCTCACTAGTTGAGTCTCCTGTCTTTCTCTGTGTCTCTCTGTCTCACTTGTCTCTCTCTTCCTCATTCTTCTCTGTCCCTCCCTTTTCTGCTACAATTCTGTGAAGCTGTCTCTGTCGCATTTCCCCCTCTCTTTCCACTGTTGCTTCTCTCCTGGCGTCTTCGCCTCTCTCTCAGCATCTCTGTCGCCTCTCTGTCTGCTTCCTTTTCAGCCTTCTCTGTCTGTTCTTTGTAATCCCGCTCTTTCTATAAGTACCCTTTCGTCTTCTGTGACTGTTTGTTACACTCACCTTTCGTTCGTTCGTCTGCCTCTCTCTCTCTCCTCTCTCTCTCTCTCTCTCTCTATATATAACTATATATATATATATATACATAATATATATATATATCGCTGTCTCTTGCGCGCCGTTGTCCTGATCTTAGCCTCGCCCTGCGTCACACGGCAACAATGAAACGCACGTGGAGCAAAGTTTAAATGGAAATTGAATCAACAAAGTTGTTTTGTTCTGCAGCGCCTTCTGGTGGAGTTACAACAGAATTAACAACACATTAACGTTCTGTGAGAAGAAGAAACACGTAGATGTGCCAACTTAATGGAGATTCGTCACAAGGTGCCGCTCTTATATACACTAATATCTCTCTCTCTCGCTCGCTCGCTCTCTCTCGCTCACTCTCGCTCTCTCTCGCTCTCTCTCGCTCGCTCTCTCGCTCGCTTGCTCTCTCTCTCGCTCTCTCTCGCTTTCGCTCTCTCTCTAGCTCTCTCTCTCTCGCTCTCTCGCTCTCTCTCTCGCTCTCTCGCTCTCGCTCTCTCGCTCTCGCTCTCTCGCTCTCTCGCTCTCGCTCTCTCGCTCTCGCTCTCTCGCTCTCGCTCTCTCTCTCGCTCTCGCGCTTTCGCTCTCTCGCTCTCTCTCACTCTCTCTCGCTCGCTCTCTCTCTCGCTCTCTCGTTCTCTCTCGCTCGCTCTCTCGCTCTCTACCTCTTAAAGGTTTTTTTCGAAATTGCAGGGATTCGAGCCAGTTGTGATTGACAGGGGAATATTCATTTTCGCAAAATTCTTGTGTAGTTTAGGTACGGATGCGAACGTACAGAGAGACAGACGGGCGGGCGCGTTTTGACAAAAAACTGTTTCCGTGTTAGGGGATCCTAAGAGGCGTATCTCTGTGCAATCTCAAAATTTTCCTTCAATATTACGTAATCTTCTCTACATGTTCATCATAAATATAAACGTCCATATTTATTCAAACTGTTCCAGCTTAATGACGCTCGTTTTTAAGCGGTTATAATTTATTTTATTATATTACAAAAGAAGCAAAAAGTTTAGTTTACTAAATGGTTAAGTTATAGAGTGACTATTAATAAAAAAAGACACCAATAACATTAATATATTATGGTAAATTTGTTTTCCTTTTTGTGAACATTGCACGTTAACATTCACTTACTGTATCTGGTGAATGAAACTCAACCTAGATAAACAAAAGTAACTAAGCATTAATAAATGGTTTACATTAAAATTTTAATTATAATCTTCGATCAATAATTAAACTTTATCTTAAAATACATTCATGGTGCAATTCGTTATAAGAGTTCAAGAAGACTGAATTTGGGAAGTACATTAAAAGTTTATTTAGTCTTTAGCAAAGTTTCTTTATTTTAATGTCATGAAAAATGTGCATAATTATACAGAGTTAATAAACAATTTTATCACAGAAATTAATTACGTGAAAATACTATTTGGCGTTTTAAAACATGTTCATCTCCCCAGCCATTTATTATGCCACTTTTTGTAGTGGCATGGGACAATAGCAACTTCGCAGCGCTCTTCGTGGCAGCGAATCGCATTACGTCTGCGGCTTCGCTTGCAAGTTCCGCCAGATGTCTCGCGCGTCGCGCGGCGGCTCGTTGAGTCGCAGGCAGGGCTCGCAGGGAATGTCGTCGGTGGAATCGGCTGCCCTGCCCCGATCCAGGTCCAAGGCGATGCCGCCGAAATTGGGCGAGCCATATGAAGAGTGGGAGTGCTTGTCCGCGTCCGCCAGGGCAAAGGCTCTGCATATTTAGGGGGAAATGATAAATGGAATTAAAAATGATTTTTTTTTATTTAAAAATAAAATATTTTAAACTAGTTGTGCTACAACAGCTGGAATTGTTTCTAACGGCTCCGCTATTTTACACTACTTCATAAACCTGCAAATGTGTTTTCAACCAGCACATTCTTTTCCGCCCCGAGACTGGAATACAGGTCCTCCGAGTTACTTAGCTGTGAGTCTTTCTTCTACGCTGTCGAGGTCATGAGCTTTGAACTAGAGCCGACGCTTAAAAATGTATTTGTCTCAATCCACTTTTTCGTTACCAGAGTCAGAAAAGTTTTTCTGTCGAAAATTCGCCGTTTTTCAGCACAATTACGATCTTCTTACATTCATACGGATGATAATGAAAAAAATTGTTTTATTTGTTCCCAAAAATGACAAGGTAAATCATAATCGGTAATATTTTACCGAAAATATTCTTATTTTACCGCAGCTTATCAACACCTGATCAACGCTTCCGCCAGCCTCGAAACCTAACCGGCTACCTCTATTAACAAACATATTTTGTCAGAAGTATTTGGGATCGGTTAAGACAGGTTTCTAATTGCCGCAATGAGGATTTTCCTTTAGAGGTAGCTGTAGATATAGTATCAAATGAAATTGTTTTTTTCATTTATGTTGGATTTAAAATGTGTTTATTATTAAATTAAATTAAATATTCGTAAATTGAGATATTGACTCACTGTTGTAACTCAAGAAAATTATTTAAAACAAAAATCTCCTTGTAGTACCACTACCAACGAAAATAGCGACATATTTGATCTGAAGATACTGTCGAAATAATCGAAATAACAACTTTCCCTCTCGCATTTTTCAGAATCAGAGCTCAAGAAAACATGTGCAGATAGTGAAGCTACTTTAATGTCCAGAGGCAAATCCCAACGTATGCTCAATGGATTAATGGGAAATGAACGTAAAATCTGATCGAGATGGGGAGTCGTTGATATAGAATCTGACATACACCACTTGTGAAGCAGTAAATAAGCCTTAATGCAGCGTTATAAATCGCAGTTAAAGTCGTTATTATCATTATATCGCTATTAGTGTCGCTTTCTGCATTACATTTTGATCGGAAATTGCTGATTTCATCTAACCTATGTTTTGTTCTTTCAGATGCTTTATTACAGCCACTACGTGTGATGGAGCTACGAATCAGTCGATGCTAGGGCAGTGGGAATGTCCTGGTTTTACTAGTTCTCGATTCAGTAGTTAAAGGAGTTTTTTTTTTGAGTAGTTGAGTAATGGCATTCATATTTTCTTCTTCTGAGTATGCCACTGAAGTTCCTAATTATAGAAGAGGAATGATGGAGAGAGCCACAGCTTAGAGCTTTTCCCAGCTTTCCCAATGTCCCGCTGGTGGAAGATACCTGGTTGGGGGAAATTCCCGCAAGCCGATATAGGTTTTGCCCGGATCTCGCCATCTAACTGAAAAACATCACCACCACCTTCGGCGTTAAAAACGTGCCCTGCACTCGCGGGACCAATTACCTTAGCAGTAGACCCGCCCGGAATCACTAATTATAGTACGATTGCTAATTATAGTAGTTGCGCGTCTGCCAGGTATCAGCTGTTGACGGTTTCATCCAAACGAGGACTTATATGTCGTTACAGTGACGTCACTACGGTAACGTACAAGCTCACGATTAGATGAAACCGTGAACAGCTGATTTACTGTTCGACGCACGATTCAATAAATCCAAGAAACAATCCAATGAACGCAAAGGCGTGCCTGTCGAGGATGGTCTCGATGGTGGTGACAGCGGCGTGGCGCGGGTCGGCGGGCGCCAGCCAGCCGGCGTCGCCCACCGCGCCCACGATGTTGACGAAGGGGCGCCGCGCCCAGGGCGGCGACAGCGGCGGCTCCGGCTCCAGGGGCAGCGCCGCCGTGCGCTTCCACCACTCGTCTGCGCGCACACACACACACGCGCGCGCGCGGGGTCGTGCCGCCTGCTCTACGCACTGAACGGGGAGGTTGCCGTGAGGGCAAAATGGGTTCCGGTGGCATCCGAATACCGCCCTGACGGTGTACTTGTGCGCAGGCGGGGGGCTAGGATATACGCGCATATGCTTAGGAACCAGGTAGAACACACAACAGAGTGGAGTTGTAGACCATGCGGGGAACATAATGTTCTATGCACTTCCTTCTGCGGCTCCCGTTTCCACTGCGTCATTGCAGACTATCTCAGGAAAAATAATACTTGATTTGGTGGTGCAATACGGAGTAGCTTAGTATCACATTAAACTCAATAATATTAATATTTGGATAGATGGCAAAATTATGTGAGTGATTTAGAATCTCCACTCACACTCTGAAAATTAAATTAAATTTGGTAATGCAAGTGTAATAATGTAATGACGGGCAGAGAAACTCACTCATTTATGCTTAATGTCAAAACTGAGCATAAGAGAGTGCAAATATTTAAGGCTCAAGCCTTGTTTAGTTCAACTCATGACAGGGCATGGTTCCTTCAAAGGCAAATTACGCACGTTTCACTTTGCGCACTTGCCCACATGCAGCTGCCTAGAAGGTCAAGCCGCAATTCATCTGCTCTGATACACTCCCTGTGGAAACTACGCATGGTGTCCAGGTCCTTTCATAGACCCTCCCAACTTTGATAACATTACCGCGATTTTACCAGTCAATTCAGAACTTCGCCAAAACAATCATCCAAACACCACTCTCACTTAATGAACGATTTAACACCATCTTGCGGTAGATGGCAGACCCCCCTCAAGCCAGGTATCGTAACATGTGGCGTTCCGTCCAAGTCCTGATAAGAAAGCTTACAATTAAACGGCAAAATAATTCAAGTTCTCTTGACAATACAATTTGAGAGGCACTTCCAGGCGTATCAAGGGACGCCCACGAATCGCCACTCCTCCATAAGAAGCGTGAACCGAGTTTCTCGTGTGACGTTCACGAAAGAAGAGGAGCGGAGAAGTCCAGCTGGCGGAGAGGGGGATAGGCCTACCCTTGGTCTGCGAGGGCGTGTACAGGAAGTCGCGCGAGCGCAGCGGCCGCGAGGGCGGGCGGCGGCGCGCGTGGCACACGAAGGGCACCCCGGGGCGCGGCGGCGGGGGCGGCGCGCACACGGCGCAGATGTGGTCGGCCTCCTTCGGCGCTGGCCGCTCGGGTCGCAGCGGCGGCGGCGGCTGCGTCGCACGTCACACTTTGTTTAGGCGCGTCGACTGAAAGGGTCATTAATCCCGTAAGTGTAGTGTATATTAATCTCGGGAGATGGCGGAGATCTTTCCCCTCTGGTTGGCGTGATTCGGCCCGAACCTACCCGTAGTCTTGCTGTTTTTTCCGAACGAGGTATCTCTCCCAACTGGTCTTCCGACATGTGTGGTTCTGTGGTGCATGTGAGTGTAAGGGTATAACTAAGAGGTGATGTTAGGACAAGGATGAGGAAGGAGAGATCGCACGCAATTCATGGCGCGTTTGTTAGGATACTTCTCCGGTTTTCACCTGGTGTTGATCGGAGAAACCACGGGAAAGTTATGATTAGAGCAGCCAGACGCTAGACTTCTCCTCCAGACAGCGACCGAATTGCTGACAAGCTAGTGTCAAAAATCCTGCCACTGCCGGGACTCGAACCTAGGACCTCCCGACCAGAGGGACTGCAGTGACACCAGTTGATGCACGGCGTCTCGACTCATTGGAGCTTTCTCTTCCGGTGTTCACGTAAATAAAACTTAATGGATTCAATATTATATCAAATGTAAAGGCATCGTATGTTTTATAACCTCTCAAAATAGTACATTTCCGTCAAAATGACAACACGAGTTACATAAACACTTTTGAGAACTTAACAAAGTAATATCATCTCGAAAAAATGTAGTGAAAATGAAAAACATGGGTTTCATCTACTTTTCGTAGAAAATGGTTTAAAAAAGCCAAGACATCAAGGTTGAATTTTCGCTCTAACCATTAATAAAGCGGTAATAATAGACGGAATCTTAAATCTGTTGTCTGAGATTAGGTGTGGTTCTGTGATACAAGCGAATCTAATGTTATGTTTCCGTAATCACAATAATCATACTTTTCTGTCGTTTGAAACCACTGGCATTCCAATTTAATGGTATTTATATCATTATTACTTGACATTCCTTCGATATGCAGTAATCTTTCAAGTAATCATCTTTTGAACTTGTGGGACGATCTGCATACCAACTTGGAATTCAATAATGAAAATTATTTCGACAGTCAGCATTATAACCTCTATTTTTTTACTTTCTCGTATACCTACGTATATGCGGAGTAATATATACTAAAATACACTTAATAATACACTTAATACGGACACGTGAGGAATTTCTGTGGAATTAATTAAAATTATACATGTATGGGGAAGTCGGAGGTCAAAGAATAAACAGAATCAGGAGCCGATGAGCAAGTAGCCAATCAGGAGAGAGGTAAATGTTAAGGTTTGGAGGAAATCGGCGCATATCTGCGAAGAAGGAAGGAAATGAGAACAGTGCTTGTATTTGTAAGTAAACAAGTGAGCGGCGCGGTTTATGAACTGCGGAGGCAGAAGCTATCTAGCCGCGTTGATGATTGGACGGAGATGCGCGTGAGGTAAAGATTTCCATGTGTTGTTATTGTTATAGAAGCATTATATGAATGGTTTCTATTTCGAAGCCAAGAAGAAGCTGAATTTTAACGCTTTTTGTTGTTTTTGTTTTCCAGTATGGATTTTTTTATTTCATATGGTAGATAGAATCCCTAAATCCAATTAATTAACTAATCAATATTCTTTACGTAAATTTGGTTGCCGCAACTAATGGTTCTGTCGGCCCACAAATAGAATGTCTCAAATACGTTGTCCAACGTACTGATAAGGTTGAAAATAATTCATAGTTCGGAATTTGTTGCATGTGGTGATACTAAAGATTGGATGCTAAAAGGTGGGTGATTGGTAATTATGAAGATAGAATCTACATATTTTTAAATGACTGTGCTATAAATACATGGAGAGAAAAATAGATGGGAATGGGGAACTACTACGTCCAACGTAACGCTTGTCCAGAACGTATTAGATGATAAAAGGTCATTCATGAAAAATTAGGAATATCTCTGCGAGAAGTTGATCTACTAGGGAAACGGAAATCAAGGAGTGTGAAAACAGAACTGGTTAGTAATATGCGCGGAGCCTAGGGTGGAGACTAAATAAATAAATTATTAAGTAAGCAATGAATAAGTTAGTACGTTTATAAGCTAACAAGTGATTAAGTATAAAGTAAATCTATTGTGAAATAATGAAAGGCGCTCATTAGGGGGCAAATGGGATGGGGCGTGACGGGAATAGTGCAGCGGAGCGAGGCAGAGTGAAGCGGGACGCATTGAGTCGGGTCGGGGTGGGGCGGAGCGAGGCGGGGTGAGGCAGGGCGATGCAGGGCGGGTGGGTCGGGCGGGCCGGGTGGGAGTGGTCGAGGCGGGTGTGGTCGGGGTGGGGGCGAGCGTGGCGATGCTGAGCGGAGAAGGGACGGGGTGGGAACAGGGCGAGAGCGCAGGCGGGGAAGGCGGGCGGGAGCTGACGAGCAGGCGCAGGCCGCTGGCGCCGGTGGACGGGCGGCTGCGGGAGGAGGGCGCGGAGTCGCGAGACGGGGCGCGGCGCCGCCCCGCGCACGTGCGCTCGCACTCGGCCTCCGCCGCCGGCCCTTCGCCCTCGTCCTCGCCCTCGTCCCAGGGCGCGGGCCCCAGCATCGACGCCCGCAGCCACGCCACGCCCACCGCCGCCTCCGCGCTGCCTCCGCCTGCGCACCACGCAAAGCTCACCCTCTTCATTTTGAATCGCTGCGCTTTACTCACTCAGCTTCTCTTCTTAACTCTAGTTGTTCATATTTTTACGTCAACAAATTATCCATAGTTTGGAATTTGTTGCATGTGGTAATACTGAAGATTGGATGCTGAAGGGTGCGTGTTTGGTGGTGAAACTAAATATTGGATTCATTTCATATATTTTTAAATTACTGTGCTACAGACCACTAATTTCTATCTCCTGCTCTTCCCCTCTCCCACTATCACCATTAGAGTTTCCCTGTTTTTTTCAAATTGAACATATTTGAATAAACACCTCCTAAAATTTTCGAGCTTACCCAAAACATAGGTACTTGCTGGAACGGGATGGGAACTGAATACTAACAAAAAATGCACGTCTAGTGTTGACTTCTGACATCAAACATATACAGAGAGACGTACCGAGCAAGGGAGGGCCCAAAATACAGTCGCATTCGTTCAAAGCAGGAGAGTCTGTCAGTGGAATTGTGTTGTCTGGGTTCATGACGAGGCCTCGTGCAGGCTCCATGATGAGGCCTCGAGCAGAAGGATCGAGAAGGAATACTCGAGCCCAGTTGTTTCCATGGGATCTTTGCTGCTTGATTCATTCGATTGTTATCGTCAACAATTGGTAAAACCCATGGCAGGCAGTGAGAAATATAGTAGACATAACATTTAAAACTTGGAAAATGCGCAGTGTTAAATAATANNNNTGCAATTACAATTGTTAGAACACTCGGAACAAGTGGTGAAAGTATACCGGAAACCACACGAAGAATATCTGAGATGCCAAAATGGGAATTACGTATTGTAAGAAAAATTGAAAATCTTTGAATTATGACCTCCAACAAGTTGTTTGATCTACCAGTTTATAAAGTGAAATGTAATAATATTAACTTAAGATATATTATTTGTAATTTAGTAATTTATTATAATATGGGGAAAAAAATAAATTATTAGCGATTTGAAAATATGTTTCACTAAAAATACAACATAAATTATATATTCTTTGGCCGATAATTTTCCGAAATGCCAATTCATTAATGGGAGCGTTGCCCATGCCCATTTAGGCCTGTGCCACACGAGCGTTGCGTTGATGCCCAATAAGTAACGCGCGACGTAGATTAACACTAACAAACCTTATGCGGCCAAAGCGCTCGGGTGACGTTTCTCATAATAAACAGCGCATTTCTACGACCAGCGGATGTCAACACATAACGCGCGTCAACACAACGCTTGTGTGGAGGGCCCTAAGATCTTTGTGTAAATGCTTTGCAAACTTGCTAGGATTTATTGAAGATCATAACGGGAAAGAAATTGCCTATCATATTCTAATATAATATGAATGATCGATGATTTACGTATGTCCTAGGCATGCACTTGGAAACCGATACGGACTACAAGCAACTCCTTTAACTTTTTTGTAGTATAAAATAATTTCTGTTTTTGTGTGGGATGGTTACTAATTATTTTTCACTGAGATTTTTTCCATTCTTAAAAAATAGTTTACTGGAAAAAAATGAAAAAAAGAAAAATACTTTGAACTTTTCCCTTTCGTATTTTTCCGGACACGTTTTTGCTTAATGTTTCCACTTCCATTCAGAATTATCATTTTTATTTTTAGAACACTACTCACCTGAACTACTTACTAGACCAGAATCAACTCTCATTCCCTGATTATATTCTTCCTTCTCTGCACACAAGTAAGCTTGCCTCTGTAAAGCTGTCATAGTACCTTGGTTGAGTTTTGAGAAGCAGATTACTTTCACCCGAACAGTAGATATGTAACAATTACATTTTTTTAGGAAAACTGTATCAGACCAAATTCTTACATAATGTAAATACGTATAAAGTCACGAAGTATCAGAATGTTCATTAGCCAAGCATGCGTGTGAAAGGAAAACAAATTTATTTTCGGGTCAGAGACCCTATCAGTACAGCAAGGTTAAACTTGTGTATTGACCTTAAATCTTCGGCCGGAGACAAACGAGCGGTCGTTGACGTACACGTTGACGTTTTACAGAGTTTACAGGCAGTAATGGGACATTGCACACGATCTCCCTGCGCGACGTCCGTTGTGCTCTTCCTGAGTGCCTCGATCACTGACGTCTGTGAAAGTATGGATGTTGTAACGTCAGGTATGCGACGCTCGTGTGACTGGAAAAGTAGTGTAAAATAATCTTCATACATGCAAGTGAATTTTTGTAGTTTTTGGATTCTACCCCCGAAGAATATGATTCGTACGTCTTGAGTTAAAGTCATTAGTAATGGAAGAGAAATGTTCACGCCCTTGGGCAAGTCACCGCGATGACGTTAAGGCAATGGTAGAATTTCCAGCTTACCAGTAATAAAGAGGCTTGTAGTAATGACGTGGATGGGATTTGCGTAATGTTCGTAAATTTCTGCTCTCATCTCAAAGATCTAGAAACTACGGGATGTGTTTCTCCAGACTATCCCATTTTTTAAGTGCCAATGTGCGTTTCCCAAATTTATCTTCACAACATGCTGAATGAAGGCTGCCAGACTATTACAGAATTGTGAATGCATAACACGATTAACATAAGAATTAGTTTGTGGGGATTGAGGGTAGTTTATGCGAGTAGTTAATATGTCGAGGTAGTCAGTATTCAGGTCCAAAAACTTTGGTAACAACGTTAGGCAATACAACAAAGACACTAAGTAACTGAGATTAATAGTAATACAAGTCGAGTACTTTGTTATCAGTTGAAATTTAAAACTGAGATTTTACTAGTTTAAACTAAAACTGCAAGCTTACAGTAGGAAATCTAAGGTCAGTTTTTATGCAACGAAATATAGCTAGAAAATTGACTTATGGCATTTGCGTAATTCACCACAATTAGTGACCTTATAACAATCGATACAGAGTAAAATGTAATGTATTAATGTCTAAGTTTCTAAGAACCGCGTCGGAAAGTTGAGCAGTAGCGGAAAAAACAAAACAAATGCAGGATAAGACAGGAAAAGGCAGGGAATAATAAAGATATTCAATTTTACAATTAAATCTTTATTTTCAAAATGTTGACTAAAAAAACACAAGTATGCCATGAAATGGAAACTGTCCTTTTAGGAAAGAGGAAAACGAAGCCAAAAGTAAAACAATCTACTGAAAGACTTTTAAAAAAATTACGCAAGTAAAATTCGTAAATACTCAGTCATAATACTATTGGAACAGTCTAAATCATTGCTGTTGGTTTATGGTTAGTGAAGGAGGAATCCGCCTGTCAAATAGTAGCATAAAATTTACTTATTCCAGTATCATGCGAAGGATGCACTAAGCCAGTTATGCCATTATGTTTTCGTGAGCGCTGAAGATTATACAGCAGAAAACCCAAGTCAGGCTTACGCCGCTTTAACATCCGTCTCCGCTGCTACACTTTCAATGCAACGGATTTAGAACCTCCGGAGGCCGGTCTGGCTGGAAATCTGCCATCTCGTTGCTCAGGCGGTCTAGCAGCGCAAACGGCATGAGGGGGCGGCGTCGGAGGGCTCTAAAGAGCCGTCTATATAGTGTCGTGTGATAGTGCGTGTGTCGAGTGTAAATATAACCCAGTGTAAATGTGCGAGTGAATGAAAAAATCCAAGAAAACTAAATCAAATAAAACATGAAATAAACTACCAATGAGGTTTAGTGCAAATCTTAGGTTGCCGACCAAAGTGTCGGCTTCATCCATAGGTTAAGTTAGAAATAAATTAGTAAGTAAGCACTGCCCCCTTCTTTGCCGCATAAGCCAAAGAGCTGCAGCGCATGTACCCCAACATGACAATAAACTCCCGCCCAGGGGTCTGACACTTAGAAAATTCCTTATTTCAGCGATGTGGAAGGGGAGCTGATGATTTATGGTAGGTCCGCCATTACTGCACCTCATTGGGGAGCTCTCTTTAGCGACTTTTGCAAACTAATAAAAAAAATAGAAAGTGTGCCTTCCAAAAGTGCTGCCATCTGACGATAGCTCTGAGCGAAAACTCGAAACTGATCCCCAACGGCTCCGAATTTTGAATTCGTTGTATGTATAACGTGCTTAACCGTCTCTCAGCTCCACGTTCGGCAGTTTGTGGTTTTGAAGATTCCAGATTTTGAAGGAAAATGCCGCATTTTCGTCGTTCTTCACTTCACAACTGCCATATTAATGGAATGGTAGACACGAAAAATACAAGACTTGCAAAGTAAGTGATATTAATATTTTGCACGTTTGTAAAATACTCTCTGCTCCCGCCTCGCCGGGGCTACTGGCGCGGGGAAAGTTGAAAAAAAGGGCCGTCCCCGTCCATGTCCTCGACGGTCGGCGGCGGGGGCGGAGGCCGCAGCAGGTCGCGCACCGCGTCCGACACCGCGTCGTCCAAGGCCGTGCGGCCGTCGTGGTCCTTGGCGCCGGCATCCGCGCCGGCCGCCAGCAGCAGGAGGACGGACTGTTTGTCGTCAGCGGTGGCCGCGTGGTGCAACGCGGTGCGGCCTTGCAGGTCCACCTACAGATGTTGCCAATATTAGTTTAACTAGTTGACGCCTTGCGGCTACATCGTTCGAAAGGAAAAGCTGTAGAAATATTACAACGAAAGTACTATATACGAACAATACGGGATATAAAACTCAAGTGTTGTTTCATGTCGTTTAGTTTGTATCCTAGAAAACCTCAGCGAGGATTTCTGGAATATAATTACTATTGTGAAAACACTGTTGATGATCATTGTGAAAAAGTAATTGACATGTTTTAAGGCAAACGTATGTATTACAAAGTACGTTGTATGGGGACTATTTTAGGGTATTCTGTTACCTTAAGTTAAAGTAACTTCATGGAACACAGTTGTTAACTCAGAATATTTTTGTAAAAGATCGTCTCGGACCTTGCTGGATATTGAATTTATAACACAGACTAATGGATACGTTAAAATACCGTAACATCAAAGTTAAAAGCCCGAGGCACCGCCCCCAGTTGGGACAAGATCTAAGCTCCAGACTGATCTCTCGGTATGTGTGTTAGTGTAGTACACACGAGTAAGCGTAGGGATAGGAAAGGGATGAGGATAGGGGAAGGAAAGATCGCGCACGCGGTCCGTGGCCGTATCTTAGGGTACCAGCATTCGCCCAGTTTTGATAGGGGAAACCAAGGAAAACTACTGATCAGACCAGCCGGCCGCTAGGATTCTCCAGCCGGCGGATGAATTCGACTTAATTATCTAGCTAGTGTCGAAAAACCCTGCCCCCGTCGGCACTCTTTAACTACAGAACTTCCCAGTCGGAGGTACTGCAGCGTGATCAATCGAAGTCCTCAGCTATCTAGCAGGTGAAAACCACTTCAAGAGAAGCAAGTTAACCTTTGAACGTTTGTGCGGGCGGTATAAATGCCGCCATTGAAAACAAAACGGCGCTGCGCGTTGATGTTTGAACTCAGCAAAGAGGGAAGCCAGGTATTCCCTAGTTATATATTGAGACACAAAATAGCGGTAACGTCTCCAAGGCCCACTCACATTTGCGCCAAATTCGCGCAAAAGTGACCAACGTCATCTGCTCTACGCGGCACCAACATCGTCACGTGATCGCGCCTGTGAAAGTTTTTTCCACGAGTGTGATAAATATGTAATATTTTTTTCATATATTCTGTAATAAAAATTCCATAATTATCCTATTATACTAATTATTGTGTCAATTTGGTAATGCATTGCGTTTGATTTGTGGAATATAAGTGATTTTAGGAATCAACATTACCAATTCTATTCTCGTTTTACTATAACATATTTTCTTTTCCCCTGTTTTCTATTTTCATCTTATTAGATTTTTATCTTCCAACTCCAATAGGTTTTATTTCAGATTTTTTTATGCCAATATTATATTGTATGAATTTGTCATCAGTGTTTTGTGAAGCGAAGTAGAGAACTGATTTGGCAGATTATCTCCAAAAATGTCTTATGGAGAATAATTATAATTGTTTCAATAAATGTTTAATCTACTACAATGGCCAGTTGATATTATTTAATAAATTCCCCGAAACTGACGATCAAGAGAAGCTGTAATACAGAGAAAAGAGAAGGAGATCGTCGGCGGCAAAAACACCCCCGTGTGACACTAGCGCAGCGCCTTCCCACGTCGCGACGGCAGCGCGCTTACGTCAAGACTCTCGCCACGCGAAGCGGAGAAGGGAGTGCGCGCCACCGTTAGCAGAGCACCGCTCTAAATGGTCGCCTTCCCACTGCGATCGCCGGTCGCAGCGTTTTACCTGCTGCGGTCCCTTTGTTCGAGGTTGCCGGAGGATCGGCGGAGAGCCCTGCCGATTGACGTACGCGCGCCGCCGTGGCGTCGTGGAAAGGCGCCCGTCGAACAAAGAGACCGCAACAGGTAAAACGCTGCGACCGGTGACCGCAGTGCTTCGCAGCAGCGCGGCGCGTAGCAGAGCATTGGTTTGAATGGAGGCCTTCCCACGTGCAGCGGG